TAAAAGCAATTATTTGTTGTCTACTGTATTAGTGGAACAGGAACAATAGTTTAGACATAAAAACTAACCCTGAGATCTTACTCCACACTGGAGTTTCATTTTTACAGAAAACCTTAAAGGATAAAGATTTTATATAAACTAAGTAAAAAAGACTTGCTCTGATCTTTGACCATTTATTATAAGACCCTGTGTGTAAAGAGGTCTGTAAGGTGTCATGAGGATAAAAATGGAAATGGAAGTCAAAGTCCCTACTCTCAAGAAACTTAAATTTTACTGGATATTACCACACACAAATATGGCAGCTATTCAAAAGCAACATGTTATCAAGTTGTATATACATTCCCATCTTTTTTTTTTTTTTTTTTGCTGGTTAAACATTTATTTTGAAAATTCATTTGGTGATTAGATGATAAACAGAAAATGAGCCAGTATCTTCTACTTTTTATCATTTCTTTAAGCTCTGAAAAACCACAATAAGACACAATGTCATACATACGGACAGAGTAATACAAACCAATGCTTAAAGAAGAGCTGGGGATGTTATTATTCTCTGAGTAGGTGTGATTCACCAGGACTTGGTCAAGGGCTTCAAGTTAGTACTATGAGCACCTCCTATGTGCAGAGATTCACTTCAGAGCCATGAATCTGAGCTTCTAACACCAGATTTCCGGAAGAGCCACCCACACAGCGGCCAATCAGGATTTCTATGCCAGTGGCCTGTGTGTCTCCTGGTTTATTTCAGGGGCCAGGAGCACTCCTAGCCTGAGGCTTGGTTCTTCCCCTCTGAGAAGTCATTTGCTCTGATGCAGATACCATGCCAAGGGACAGTGACTCGTTCAACCCTCACCACTGGGTTGGCAGCATTTCAGAGCTGAAGCTTTCATCAGGGGGCTCTGGGCTTTGAAAGGAAGGACAACATTCTATTGTTCTTTAGGTACATTCCCATCTACTGAAAAGAAAACCAAAAGCTGTCTCAGTCTGTATGTGCTCATCATGCATGTGTGCATGCTTATTTAGAAAGGGTGTGAAAACAGAATATACCAATTACTCTGGAGTTGGAGGTAGATGAGGGAGCAGATGGGCTAATGTAAGTGAGCCAAGAGATTGGTATTTTATATAATTCAATGTAAAGACTTCTACTTCTATCCAGGACACTAATAGAGACTAAATTTATTCTTTGACCTGAACATCTGAAAAAATTAGATACAATATATAAAACAATGGTTTTTAAACGTGGGACCAAAGGCAGTACAGGGCAATATTCCCTGAGAGAAGAGAAACACAGGAGGTGAACCCTTCTATTGCCCCAATACTGTCTGGAGAGAGCCTTCGTGTCTCAGTGAATTGAGAACACAAAGCTCAGAGATGGAGAGGCCAAGCCAGCTAGAATTCGCAAGACAGGGTATAGGAGAGAAAAGAACTGCAGAGAAAGAGAGACTTCTAGGATCTGTAGGGAGTTTCTCCTGAACTCTTCAGTTCCATGTAAGGAAACTATCTATGGATGGGAAAAGAACCACTGAAAAGGAGTCCTTTTCAGGGTTGGGAACAGCACATGTTACCAACAGACAGTGTGAAGAAAACTCATTTATACATGGGACTTTGGGTTGAGTACTTGGAACACTATTGTCTCTGTAGTAGAAAAAAAATCTGAACTAAAAGCTGCTCAGGTCCTGCCTAACAAAGCTAAGATGTAAACCTTAAAAAGACCAAACAATTCCCAAGTAACCTAACTGCATACCAGGATAAAGCTAAAAATATTTGAGTAATAAAAAACACTAGCACCAAACAATGTAAAAGTTCACAATGTCTGGCAACCAATCAAAAATTACCAGGCATGTAAATATTTTACATAATACCCATCAACACAAAAAGACCCACATGGGAGCACCTAGGTGGCACAGTTAAGGGTCCAACTTTTGATTTTGATCTCACAGTTTGTGGGATCAAGTCCATGTCAGACTCTGCGCGGACAGCGTGAAGCCTGCTTGGGGTTCTCCCTCCCTCTCCCTTGCATCCTCCCTGCTTGCTCCCGCTCTCCCCTCTCTCTCAAAATAAATAAACTTAAAAAAGAAAAAGACCCACATGTGACACATTAGTAGACAGAATTAGCAGATAAGGGCATTAAAAGAGTTATTATATACTCCATATGTTTTACAGGTGGAAAAAAGCATGAGAATGTTCAGGAGAGACTTGAAAGAAATTTTTAAAAGCCCAAAACTGAAAATTTTGAGGTAAAAATAAAACACAGAAGATAAAAATACACTGGACAGGATTAATAGATTAGATGTTACAGAACAGATTAGTGAACTTGAAGGTAAAACAATAGAATTTTCCTAACTAGAACAAGGAGATTAAAAAAAAAAAAAATGTGTAGAGCACCAGTGAATTGTGAGACATCTGCAAGAGTCATAATATTCATGTAGTTAGAATTAGAGAAGCAACATATTTGAGAAAAAATGGCCCACAATTTTCCAAATTTGATGCAAATTATAACCAACAGATCCAAGAAGCTCGAAAAAGCCCAAGCAGAAGAAACACGAAGACAACTACACAAAGGGACATCATAATCAAACTGCCTAAAACAGATGATAAAAAGAAAATCTTAAAAGCAGCTAAGGAATAAAAAGCCGCATTACCTATTGAGGAACAAAGGAATTCTCACCAGAAACAACGCATACCAGAAAACAATGGAGGGAAAAACTACATCAACCTAGGTTTCTATATTTAATGAAATTATCTTTCAAAAATGAAGCAAAAAAGAAAGTCTTTTTCAGAAATGTAATTCAATAGTGCTAGATGTTTTTATAATAGGAGCATGGATAATTCTTATAATTTCAAAAAATTAACTATATTCCACAAGTATAACAAATATTCTACAAATAAGTACAGATGTGCTCAGAGTAAAAAGTAGCCAAGTTTGGGGTTAAGCAGAAGATAAGTCTAAAGACAATACTGTTATATACTCAATGGGTAGAGCCTCACCAAAGATGAAGGTCATGTGATATCAAACAGAAAAGAGGGAAGACGACCTTGAATAACAACGAAAGAGTTTAGATACATATGACAGATTATAGGAAGCCCCTGGAGTTTTCTGACTAGAGAGATAAGAAAAGTGGTAACTGAAGATATATTAGCAAATCATACATATGATAGAGAACAGACAGCATCATATAATTGAAATTAAACTCAGGGAAGTTTCACTAAAAAAAATTGTGCTTACAATTTCAATTCTAGGTGATAAGAAATCTACCCTCCTTGAGCACAAGGATTCGCCCAGTTATAAGATCTTTGTGGTGGATCACGAGCCAGACATACTTCTGCCTACTCCCCCCCATCCCTTATCATCTGCTCTGGACCATTTCTGCATTATCACAGTCTACTAACTGAAACAACAATTTCATAATTACCACAGAAATTAAGAAAATTCTTCAGGTAGGAAAAAAAAATAGAAGTTTCCTAAGACAAAATTTGGGGAGGTAATCTTGAAATAAACTTTCAAATCTATATCCTACACTATAATGTACTTTTGCCTTTAGCTTTTGTCTTTTGTCCCCCCTGGCCTACAGAAAAGAAATCTGGGAACAAAATTAGGCTCTCCATCATTCTTTGGATTAATAAGAAAATCTTAAGAAATTACAAGTTCATTTTTAGGATTTCTTTTTTTTTTTTTTTTTTTTTTGTAAGTTACCACTACTTACTCAAAGTCATTCATGTAGGCTCTACGCCCAAATTCACTCATTCATGTAGATTCTACGCCCAACGTGGGGTTTGAATTCATGATCCTGAGACCAAGAGTCACATGCTCTACCACTGAGCCAGCCAGGCAGTCCTCCTTTTTAGAACTTCTTCATAAAGTATCTAAACAATTGAGTTAAAAATGTAGTGAAAAACATCAGGAAAGTACTTACCCTTAAAATAATTAAAAAGGACCTGGAACCACTAAGAATTTCCTAACCACAGTTAGAAGAGTAAAGAAAGCTAAAAACCAACACAAGGTAAAATAACCAGAAGAAAGCAAAGGCCAAATGATAACCAATGTTAACATCACACAGGAGAGCTTCCTTGATTTTTGGTAAAGGCCCATTTTCAAAATAAAACCTTGATAATCATTTTACCTTATCCTGCTCCACGCCAGGCTCTCTGTACACCGTCCATCTCTGTCCATCATCGCTGTATAGAATTCTGTAGGCTGACACATAGTAATTGTGTTCCACCATGGTGGAGCCAGTGGTTACGATGCCTAAGGAACGCAGAGTGGCTTTCATTAGGGTGCACGGTCTGATCCTTGTTCAGCATTGAAGCCCAAATACCTAAAGTGCACCGTCCAGACATTTTTGCCAGTAGCACATTACCGTCTCTAAGGGCCAGGTTTCATTATAATAGTAAATAAATCTTTGGCTCTGTTCCCTTGTAGAGACACATGAATTATGGGTGTACATAAGGAAAGGACTACTCTGTTTTGACAGCTTGTGTTCACATCACTGTAAAATATATCTTACCTACCAAGTAACAACGACCCCCTGGGAAGGTACAGATTAAAACGATTCTTTTTTTTCAGAACCAAATTGACATAAATCTTTAACAAAAATTACTTAACCCAATTCTAATCAATTATTCTAACCATCTGATGAACTGCTCCAAATAAATTTGTATTCAGCACATGAAGAGTATTATTTATAGCACTTAAAATGAACTCCTTGAACATAAATTTCTTTTAACGACTATAAGAGATGTCAAGATCACTTAACTGAAACAGTACCTTAAAAGAATCTTATTACAATGAAAAAGCAAAGTTAATAAAAATCAAATACCAACCCCTCTCCTCTGCCATGTTTCATAAAACCACCTACAGTAATATTTAACACCATACAATTACATTTGCAGTGACCTAATTTTCTATGAAAATCTTCGATGTTATCAGGTTTCTGAATAAAATCAGAACCAGGAATCATTCTAGAAAAGTATGTCTCCCAACCTGTTATCTTCTTTTCTTTATTCAGATCTATTTGTAACCACTGATACTCATCAGCGGCAAAAGCAGCCCAAGGAGGTCCGGGTTGCTTCAGCCTGGCTTTCTCGGGTTTCCAGCTGTTCTCCCGCCCTGTGTGGTCAGTCCACTCCAGCACAGACGATGCTGTTATCTGCGCATCGGCAATCACCCCGGATTCCATCCCCAGTGTGCCGTAACAGCCTGAAACGACAGAGACAGTAATGTGGTTTCCAGAAATAAATTCAAAATCTGTATAAATGTGCTCATTGGAAACTTTCTGTTGTACATGTAATTAATATATACTATGCTAATAACACTGTAATACAGAAATTTCAAAAGTAGGCGTTGTTCTTGGTTCTATGTCTTTGTGTCTTGTCAGGAAATGGACAGACATATTTATTCACAAGCAATAGCCATTAGTTTAGCAGCAATGCATTATCCTCTTCCTGGGACACTGTCTTCAGACCAGTGGATGACTCACTCCCTACTGCCTTCAGGTGTTTGCTCAGGTGTCACTTTCTCCACGAGGCCTTCCCTGACTCCACTTAAAACTCCAGACCAGTCCCTCCTGCACTGCCTATCCTCTTTTCTTGACTTACTTTTCTACATTTTCTATAATATTATAAAGAGTTATTTATAATTTATTTATAATTTATTATTTATTTATAATTTATCCACTGTTTCCTGTCAATCTCTCAATACCAGTATTTAAGCACCAGGAAAGGAGGATTTTGTCTATTCTGCTCACTTTTGTTTCACTAGCACCAGAACAGTGCCTGAAAAATCAAAGATGCTCATAAATATATTCTGTTGAATTAATTACTTCTTCAGACATAGTGAAAAAATCACCTTTCCTAAGGAACTTCCCAATAATATAAAACCTTCAGTTATTCCATCTATTGTATTAGTGTGACATATGAAAAAGTGCAAAACAACAGCAATTAGCATACTGCATGACAGTGTTTAAAAAATATTAACAATTACACAATTATAGTAAGTTACAAAGTCCATGAAAGGCTTACCACTTGTCTTAAATGTAAAAAGACTTGTAGATAAGTGTCCCCTGAAAGAGAGAAAGGTTTTTCTTGGTGACACTCATATATTGACTTCCCCATATTTGTCTTAGTAAAACTTTTTCTTTTGTTTTTATTTTACTATATAAAGAACTAAGGATATTCTATGGCCATTAAACAACTGATACTGTTCTCAGCCTCCCCCCCCCCCCAAAAAAAAGTCTGATTTCAAAACAACTTCGGAAATCAGAATAACAACTTCTGAACTCAGCATAAACAACTTTCTCTACAAGTATCTAGTGCCTGTATCACACATGAAATGTGCAAGTATGCCCATGTAACCTTTAATATGTACTTATTTTATTTATCTTTCATGGAAATGAACGGATTCCTCAAACTTTTATGTGTCATTTGCTTTTGTTGCAAGTACATTACATTGTAACTCTCAGAGAATGAGGCTCAAGTTTCCTGGGGTAAACAGAAAAAAAGCTGGCTACAAATAAGAGAGCTCGCACTTGTTACAGGAATAAGCACAGCTCAGAACAAGTTAAAGCTGCAACCCAGCACCGCATCTGGATTTCAAAGTAACAGGCAAGTTAAGCGCAGTGGGAAGAATGGAGGAGGAGGGGAACACATCACTAGTTTACCAAGGACTCTAAAGAACCTGGGGGGATAAAATCATCAGTGTATGCTCCTGACTTCAGCACAACATTCAAACCATTATTCCAAATGGATGTGACCCACCCTTATTTTTTTCTTAAGGTATGAAAGGAAGAGAACTGATGAAAAAAATTCTTTCTAAAGGTAGAAGAGGGGAAAGGAATGAAAGAGTCTGCGTAAAATCATCTAGAAGAAACCAAAAGATGGAAAGGTAGCTATGTCTATACCAGGGATGGGCAAATGATATTTCATACAGGGCCTATTTTGTATGGCCAGGGAGCCAAAAATGGTTTCTGCATGGTTAAGAAGCTTTAAATGAACCGAAAAAGAGTAAGTGACCAGGGACATGTGGCACATAAAGCCCAATATATGTGCGAGCTGGTCCTTTGCAGAAGAAGTCTGCTGGCTCCTGTATTATACCATCACGGACACAGATTATGCTCTCATCTTCTGAATGAAAACTGCCCTAGGACCTCTGAAGAGAAACTGGCCTGCTTTCCATTAGGCTTAGTATTACCTACAGGACTAAGCCCATCTAAGAGGCAAGATTTACAAAAACAGATCCCAAGTATTACATTTCTATTTAATGTTTCAACTTTTCTTGCTTGTGATGCCTATTCAGTTTCATAAAACTGATCACTGTAGTGACCATAAAAATACATTCTTAAAATATTCTCTTTGGATTAGAGGAGGATTCATAACACTACTACTTCTGATTTATGTCAAAATTTAATTTATACTCAAAAGTATTTCAGTTATCTCAATCCATCCTAGGTCACACAGGCTGTAAGAAACAGAGCACTTATGCCTCCTGATCTTTAAAATGAAATAAAAACTTGGCCACAGACTTTTAGACCCTTACTCTCGAGACTGTTTAAGCACTCAGGAAGAACAAATCATCCTCCTAAATGACTACCTTTCTGATTGAGAACATGCCAAGGTAGTGAGACCTGGCCTATATTCTTCAGGATATTCAGACAATCAGCACACAAAGATGGGAGTGCTCACCCCACCGTTGTGATTCCATGAACACCATTAACAGTGATGTTGTTCAGGTCTAACTAGTCACTATCCCACCCCTGCCCAACCCGCTTATCGTCAATAACACATATACTTACACCACAGATGTGACGTTGTTAGCCAAAGAACTCTCATAATACGGGATACCTTTACTAATTACAACACTGATTTGGCCACCCAAAATGTTTGACACTACTCCTGCGTGCACACCAGCCATGCACAATGGTGAGGACTTGAAGAAAGGAGAAATAAAAGATTAGTATTTAATTTTCTTTGGGTAATTTATACACAAGACACTCCTTTCCTCAAGAAAGGAGTTGACCCGGGCAGTATTCTCAGTAAATATAGGATTAGTGATGGGATAACAAAGAACAGACTTGTAGCACAAGAATGAAACATTACATAATACAAAAAAAAAAATAATAATAATAATAATCCCTTGAAAATAAATTAAGATTAAAGATATACAATCGGTACACATCAACCTACTCTGGAGTTTAAAAAAAATAAAGTTAAATCACAACGTTAACATAAGTCTATGTTACTGCGACTTACATCTCTGTATCCATGAGGGATTGTTCCAGAGATCTCAGCAAAAGGAAGCAAACAACCAGCTGGGCAGTACTTACTGTGAAATGAAAACAAGTTCAAGGGTATATACAGTGTACTTTCTGGGGGAAAAGAACAAAAACCACATATTCATTTTTCAGCTCATTTAAAAAGTATAATCTCACTGCCCTAAGAGAAGCACCACTTCTAAAAAGCCCTTTTTTTTTTAGTTCATAATGAATGGTAGACATTTTTGCTATATGATCTATTCATATTTAATATGAATTTAATAGCTACAAGCTATTCTATTTTGTGAATGAACCACAATTTATTTTACCAACCTTCTACGGATCAAATTTAAGTTGACTTAAAAATGTTTGGCATTTATTCATTTATTTACTCATTCACCCACCCATCTACCCACTCAACACATTTATCCGAATGTCTATTTTGTTGTCTGTTAAGTGCTGGTCTGTGCTAGGTACTGGGTTTACAAACATCAGCCAAATAAATATGCCCCCGTTTTCACTATGTCTATGCTCCAGAAGTCGGGGGAAGGACGTTAAACTGATACCTAAATGAGTAATTAATTAGATTATGATTTTGCTACGAAGAAAAGGTGCTCCCTGAAATAAGTAGGAGAAAGCAAAGTTAATAGAAGTAAAAAGTAATACAAACATGCAGTAAATTTACTATGTGCCGAGCAGCCTTCTGAGTACCTCAGGTAACCCACACAAGAACCCTAATGGTAGATATCATTATTTTCCTCATTTTACAGATGAAGAAACTGAGAAACAGTGTGCCCAGGTCCCGCAACTGGGAACTGCCAGATGGGCTCCCGGGTCTAAGTTTTTACACTAGGCTCTGCACTGCCTCAGTCAGGAAACAAGGCTCTGAGGAAGTGAAGCCTCATCAAAGGGAGGGCAATGCACCCTCATGGACAGGAACAGCAGGCCATGAAGCAAGGGGGCCTGTGTGTGTGTCATCAATGGAGGACGACCATTGAGGTAGAGTACAGTGAGCACTGTAAAACTAAAAGGGTAACATTAGTTTGAGAGAAGCTGGAGAGGTAGGCAGGGGCCAGATCATGCAGAAGCCTTGGGAGCTATGGTGAAGAGTCTGGAATATATTTCTAAGTAAAAATGGGAAGTCAATTAAGGATTTTGACAGCTTATACACACAATCTGATTCATATTTCCAAAAAGGATTATTCTGACTCCTGAGAAGAAAGAGACTGTAAGGAACTACGAGTGGAGGCTGAGACATCGTTAGGCTGGTAGTGCCATAGTCCAGGCAAGAGAGAACGGCAATTTGCATTTGGGTGGTGATGACGGAGCGGAGAGGAGAGGCTACAAGACCCTCAGGCAGGGCTGGGTGCCACACACTGATGACAGAGCCACCTCTGCTGATCGGGATCCTCCCTGAGTGCTGAATAGAGTACCCATCCCTCACAGAACTATTCTGGAAGACAAAATAAAGCTTGTTCTTTGGGGAGTTCTTTGGGAAGTGGCAGCAAGCTGGGGGGAGGTTAGTGACACAGCTCTTACAAGATGGGAATAAATTTGCCAGGCAGAGAGTAAAGCGATTCTAGGCAAAAGTTCAGACAGCTCAGAGCAGTGTAAAGAATCCAGAGCCGTTTCAATATAAGTACGTAAGATGACATTGGAAAATTGGCCCAAGAGCTACTTGTGAAGGATCCCGAAACCAGGCTAAGGAATTTGGATGACATCTGCCCTAAGAAGGAACTCATGAAGATTTTAAAGTAGGGGAATGATCAGACATGTATTTTAGGATGTAATTTGGCAGCAACGTGAGTGGTGGAATAGAAGCCAGCAAAGGTTAGTCCCAGCCGAGACAAGAGACAAAGAAAGCAGCGAAACAGTAGTAGAAATGCTGCCTGGGCAAGAACACTGAAGAATTCAGTCCCAGCCGAAATCATTCTCTTCTCCTTTTTGAGAAAAGATAAGTAACGCCTCTAGCTTCATTAGCAGTTTTGCCAGGCTTTGAAAAGCAACTAGTTCTACTTTTAAAGTATATTAAATTATACTTTCATTGTAGAGAAAATCCAAATGCTACAATTAAAGCAAAATTTAAACATG